TCTGTGGAATATTTTAAACCAGGTTGCAGTGTCCTCAAATCCTAACTGCCTGGGAATAAAGTTCTCCGGGGTAAAAAAAAAAAACAAAAACAAAAACAGAGCAATCAAGTTCCTTTGTTAGATAGTAAAGAAAGGTAACTTTTCATGGGTTCAATCAGAGAGTGCAATGTATACTATTATTGAGACTATATGAAGCTATTCTTCAGTAGGGAGAGGCTGAGGCGAATATCATAGAATGAATCACAGCACATGAAAAGTTAATATCTGAAGTAAGAATATTTTATTCATATGTATATATATTTATATATACTGGAGAATTCCTAAGTTCTGAAGCTTAAAGCTTGTATGTTTAAATAAAAAGGGAAAATCTGTTGTAGGAGTGAGAACAAAGAACTGTGCTAACTAGCAGGAATAAAAATAACCACACCTTTATTTCAGAAGTAACTATATGCAAAAATACAGTCTGCATACAGAAGAATAACAAACATGGAAAATGTACAGTTGCATTACATGCTTAGGGATGATTAAATCTGAAGTCTTAAATGCCTTATCATAGAATCATGGAATAGCTTTGGTTGGAAGGGGCCCCAAGGATCCTAACGCTCCAACTCCCGTGTTGCATTCAAGGCTGCCAACCTCCATGTTTAATACTTGGGCAGGCTGCCCCGGGCCCCATCCAACCTGGCCTTGAACACCTCCACTGACGGGGCAACCACAGCCTCTCTGAGCAACCTGTTCCAGCACCTCACCACTGTCTTGGTAAAGAACTTCCCCCTGATATCCAAGCTAATAACTACATTTTTGATGGCAGTTCACATAGTAAGTTCCATTGTGAAACTATTCATCTATTATTGCTGCTTCCCTCCTAGAAGAGAAACCGAATCAGGAAATTGACCCTAAAAAAGGGTTCAGGCGCCTTAGCAATGTTGTGTGAGATAAAGATGAGCCAGTGAATGCAGGTGGCTTGGCCTTTTCTTGGTGATGTAGATCTTTCACTTCTTTTAGATGTAAAACCATGCTAAAACAAGTGGCTCTGAGTTATGCTTTGCACTTCACATTTCGTAGCAAGCTGTGACATTGCTTGCTGATTTTAACAGGCTATTAGCATGATGAGAATGAATGTGTAATCCCTTCATGCGTGACAGGAGATGACTGATAGAAAGCCAAAATGCTTCCTAGTTAAAGTTCTGAATGTTCAAGTAAGCCATTCCCAGCAAATATTGGCAAATCTTAAAAATATTGACAGGTCATATGTCAAAAGACGAAAAATCAGTGGGTTTATCCGTTAAATAGGTGCTTGTGCAAGGATTTACCTTAGTCAGAAACCGGAGTTTCAATCCTTGAAGGCACATAGGTAGCCAACCGCTGTTAGATTAATGAAAAATAGAAGCATGAAGTTGAGGATGCCCCATCCCAGCAGGCATTCAAGGCTGTAGCTCTGGGCAGCATGGTCTATTGGTTGGTGACCCTGCACGTAGCAGGGGGGTTCAAACTAGATGATCTTTGAGGTCCTTTTCAGCCTAGGCCATTCTATGAAGTTGACTTTAACATCTTTCAGCTCCAAGATGTTTATGAACTTCTGATTTGGTAATCTCTAGACCTCCCTGGACACATTAATTCAGTATTATTTCTTGAATATCTTTGAGTCCTGGAAACATTACTCTCTTGGAACTGCTCTACACCTATGCTTCTAATAGGAAAACAAATGAAATTGTGCCTTCTGACACTCTCCTTAAATCTTTACTGTGAGTTACTACACAATTTAAAAGCTTAGTTTAGTGTGTAAATTATAGGATTGAACGGTGAGTGTGTTTGTCAAGTAATCTATTAATTCCCTGGCAGATAAATATCCAGGAAAGTAATACTTCAGAAGCTAACAGACAAATAGAACAAATGGAAAATATTTCAGATAGGCTATTTGATCACTTATGATTAGAAAAAAACCCACTTTTTTTCCAAATAGACGTTTTATTGTTATAGTTAAATAGGCCACATTAAAAAAGTGTTGGCAAATCACAACATTTTAATTTATTAATATCTACTTGTCAGTACATCCTTAGTTCAGTGTTCGTGAGACACAGGCAGACTAAAGCAGCAAATTCAAATTAATTAAAATTAAACTTGCTTTACTGCTCAAATTGGCATGCTAATAGACTTCCTATCATTTATTCAACTTTGCATTTATGGGCTTCTCGTAAGACTAAGCTCAGGATGCATGTTCTCTTTGTTCTACTTTCGTCCTTAACAAGTGTGCTGTGCTAGCCTGGGATCTCCAAAAGGAATAACAATACTAAAACTGAGGAATGACTACACTGCAAGGTTGTGATGCTTTTTCTGTTGCATTATTCCTACTGGTATCAATGTTGCAGAATTCAGTCCTAAAATCTTTACAAAGCAGATGAAAAAATATCATGGTCTCTGTAATTTTGTAGGAGATAATTATTTTTACCTAGATAGTCAATGGTTCATGTTTTAGCTTGCAATTCTATAAAAATAATGATATCACAGCATTGCTGCTAATCCTTAAGACCTCCTGTGTTGCAGCTGGGAACCTTCTAAAGGCTTTGGTTGTAAAAATATATGGCTGCTGCAAATCAGCAGAATTTCCTACAAGCACCTAATTTGGATGCAGTGTTTGCACAGAAAGATTGAGTAGAAGGTCAACTTAATTTCATAAGGTTTTATCTAAAACTTTTGTTTAATCTTCAGCTCCATAGATTTTATGTTATTTTAATGGAGTTTAGCTTCTAGAATGAATAAAGAGGAACAGGCTCCTGAGAAATAAGCATGTTGAGTGGCTGGCAAACAGAAATGAAGAAATGCTGTTAAAATTTGTCCCAAGAAGGAGGGAAAGTGGTGAAATTGTAGTTTATTAAAGTGAAAATATTAGCAACTTGGGTGGGTAGGGAGAACCCCTGGGTTATTTTCATGTACACCTGAAGAAGTCTGTATCTTCTAATAGACATATCCCAAATATTCAGTGCAGAATAAACCTTGTTTGCCAAGACCTTATGATAAAGAGTGATATGGTCTTATTGCAAATTCTGATTAAGAGTGAAATGTGACTTTAAGAAACATGAAAGATGAGACAGAAGTTTTAGAAAAGTTTATTCTACATTTGACAAATCATGTTATTTTTGAGCTTTAAGTGTACTGAATTTGTTAAGAAGGCTGATTTTTTTTATTTTTTTTTTTTTAATAGATCAGGCAGATACCTGATCTACTGAACTTGATCAAGGGAAGGATGAAAGTCCAAGTTTAAGCATGGAAGCAGTCTGAGTAGCTTCGTTAGAACTATTGTCTGTGAAGAAACATAAACAATGAATTTGTAATTTCTTAATTCATTTGTACCTTGATCATTTCACACTGCAACACAGCAGAATCCAAGTGTTAGTTCACGCAATCTGAACAGACACTCTCTCAGTAGTGCAAAGTGATAACATGATGTTCTTTTCCATGTTCTTTTCCTATCTGCTGTTAGATGCTGACGATGGAATGGGGGGACAGGAGAACAGAGATAGGAAGAAGAAGCATTCTTGGATTAGGAAATATTATTAAACTGACTTAAGTGTTCATTTACTGATATATCTCACTGGATGCAGTACTGGTATTACAGTACATTACTAAAATGTGATGTTACTGTTAACAGTTGCTAATAATTACTCCAAAGAAGAGATCATGCAAAAATAATGATGTACATTTGTGAACAAACATTTTCAAGGAGGAATCACAGGAAGAATATTTCATCAGAAATCTCTGATGAACACCTTGAGAACTCACTAAGAATTGCAACCATTTCCATTGGACTGGACATTGATGCATTGGTTTCAACAAAAAGAAAGTCAAATATCCCACTAGTTTTATGGTTTTGCTGCTGTTTTTTACATTTTAATTAAAAAAAATATATATGTATATATATATATATATGTTTTGTTTCTTCTTTATGTTAATTCTGTTATATATTTTGCATGCAGCCCAGCACAATTGCTCTTTACTCAGTGCAGCCCATACAAGACAAAAGGTTGTATACCCGTGGCCCACACGGTCTGTTCGTCCTGGCTGCAAGGGCCATTGGATCTTTCTGCTATGCGAGGCCATAGAAGGCCATTCAGTCTTTTTTGTCGTCATTTTGTTCTTTTCTTTTTGCATTTTTAATGTAGCAGATGACATGGAGCTTTCTGGTCTAAAAAAGGTTACTGTTATTCTGAGTGATAAATTATGCTGTGATAGAGAATAATAAAGCCAGCCTTATGGCTATTTAAAGCTAAGGAAATTACTAAGAATTCAAGTGGGAATTATCCAAAGGTGGGATTCAGTCTCCAATATAGCAAGACCCATAGTACCCTGCAGAACATACAGAAATTGCCTGTGAGTATACAATGTATGATTTCAATGGCCTATTCACTGGATCATTAATGCTTTGTAACAACTGCCTGAAGGAAGACTTGTTCTGCGTGAACTTACTAAATCAGTAATTTCACTTCTGTAGTTCAAGTTGAACGGTGATGAACTTTTCCGCCTAAAGACTAATCCTGGATAAAATACAATCCAAGTGCTGTGTAGCATTTCTGCTTTAGTTATCCATTCTTAGTATAACACTGAACACTGAACTGGGTATCAGACAGATGCCTCATCGAGCAAACTGCATTCATGAGGAGAAAAGGATTTCTCAGATTTTACAGTTCTAGAATACTACAGGAAAACTTGTCAGTTATTCTGTGCTAAAGTGTAATTTCTTGGGGAGCAGTAGGAACTTTTATTTAAGCTAGAAGTTAAGGGTGTCTACATTTTAAAAAGTGAAATACAAAAAGAATAATGGTGAAAAATTCATGTGTTCCTAACTAATCCTTTCCTTTTGGCTATTCATCTGCTAAAAATCATCCTGAAATTTGTTAAAACCTCACTATAAGTATGCATGTTTCATTATGGAGCTCACCCAGTTCTAAGTTCAAAAAGCTGACCCATTTTCTCATTTTTCTTCATTTTCCTCCCTGCAGTGTTACCAACTTATCTACACAGTTTCTTCTTAAATTATTCCTGAGAGCATACAGAACTTAAAACCAGGATATAATCCCTGAAACTTGATGGTTCCAGCATTGTGCCAAATAGCCTGAAAGGCACTTCTGAGAAAGGAGGCGACCCGTAAAAACAGATGAATCTCATATCAAAAAGAGGAAAATCACCAGCCTAGGTGATTTTCCATCTCTTTCTATCTATCAATAGGCAAGAAAATCATGTAGTCAAGTGTTTCAGTGAAATAAAAAAATATATTTAAATCTTATTTTAGTACTGGTTATCATTGCCTGTTGGAATTACGCAGGAATATAGTTTATTCGCTTTGTTGTTTGCCCTTGTTCTTTCTTGTTCTAAAAGACTACACATCTCCTAATAAGATGTATAATAACACTTGCACAGATAAAGCAGGAGTGGACGCAAGAAGCATATTTACTCTAAAGGCATTAGCTCAGCGATATTGCTGTCAGTATTGATAGTGAACGACAAAAATGCCATATTTTGTGTCTTAAAATTTGCTAATATTTGAGAACTAGCTTATGTAGCATCACACTGAATTCCATTCTGTAGTAATTGGATTTTTACGATAATAATAAAGCACTATATTCAGCAGTTCATGTTCAATATAGAACATGAACGGTGGTATCAGGTGAACAAGATTCAACTACATTGCAAACCTAGAAGCTGGTCCGATGCTTTTTGGTCCTAAACTCTATCGCTGCAGTACCATTCATTTCTGTGGATAAGCACTAAGAATTGCCAATTTACTTCCATGGCAATGAAACACGTTATGAACTCTTTACTTCTATTGGGTACGGGCTACTTGCACAAGTAATTCCTGTAACTTGAACTACTATTGTGATTTCAATGCAAAAGACATTCAGAGTTGAATTATTGGCTGTACAGATGCAAGATGACGGTGACTGTCCCTCCCTCTCACAGCACTCATCTGGAGAGCTCAAAACCAACAGACCAGTATGTTGCTGATGCTCAGCAAAACTGTACATTTTCCAAATTTTCACAAGGCTGTCAGATTGATGGGAGGTTTTATGCTGGGGCCAAAGAAAGGCTTCCTATTTTAAAAAGTGACTGGCTGCTTTGTAAAAAGACTTTTAACTAAGAGGAATGTCACTTTCCTGAAGCAGGTCTGGTCTTTGTAGCTTATGGGAGAAGTAGGAATTGAACCCTGAAAGTCATTATGTGTTGCTGTAAAGAAGAGATGGTACCCACTCAGGAATTTGCTTTGAGAGTCTGCTGCTCCAGTGCTATAGTACTTCTCCTTTCCATTAAAATAAAATTCTTTGGTAGATATTCATTAACATAAACCTTTGATCAGTGCAATTATCTCCAGGCAAAAAAAAATTTTTTTTCTTTCACATTAAATTATGAACAAAATATTATCAATTCAGCAACTGTTCCTTCAACCTCATTTAAAAACTGTGCCTAATACATGCAACAGAATGCTGAAAGAGTAATCATCTTTCTTAAATCCTCTTTCTGTCATTGATACGTCACAGGTTTGTGACGTATTTATGAGGTTTATCAGCCTCATAGCCAAGGTGAACCCTTACTTCAAAAATTTATTTTAAGTGACCTATTTCTCCTTTTTTTTTTTTTTTTCTTCAGTGAAGTCATGAATGTTACATAAGGGACAAACTTGGCCTAGTGCTCCTAGTACTACTTGATACATGTCAAAGTAATGACGGTTAAGTAGGCATATGAAAAAAAAATCCAAACAGCTTGTTACTGAAGCCTTCTAAACCCTTCAATCCAACATTACTATTTTAAGATTTGTCCTCCTATGCTACCTGACAGAGGAGAAAGAAACAAGAATATTGCACAGTGCTGGGAGGTTGGTAAGGTTTCAGAAAGTAAATTCCAATTGCCAGCATATACAGAGAAGTGAAGAGCTGCTCTCAGTTCTGGCTTTCCAGGGGCTACTCATTCTTCAAAAGAAAAAGTTGTTGTTGTTTTGTGAGCCTCTTTCTCACAACAAAGTACAAAAAGACATAATTTCAAAAAAAAAACTTAGCCCACTTCCTCTCTTAGTTAAAAATTTAAGTTGAAGCACTTCACTTGTATGCATGGAATCAGAGTTAGCTTATGTATGCATTTCTCTGAATTACCTGTATCTTGAGTGCATTTACTCATTGAAATTATAGAGTCATCTAGGTTGGAAAAGAACTTCACAGTCACCAAGGCCAACCATCAGCTGACCTTATCACAATTCCAAATCTTTTGCATGCTGCAAAATCACGCTGTTGGTTTTTCTTCAATACTTAGAAATGTGCACTTGTATTCAAAGCTCATCTTGTGGTATTTTTCTCAAAATTGATTTTCAAGGCTATTGGATTTATTTGAAAGTGATACATTACATTTCATTGAATCATTCATTTCATCAAATGTTTTTTAAGGTGCATGGACTTGATGATCTTTAAGGTCTTTTCCAACCTGAGTTATTCTATGATTCTATGAACTTTTGTTTAATGCTTTTGATTTCAATCTTGTGGCGTGATCTAAGAGATTATTCAATTTAAAATATTTCTAAAGATGTTTCATAGAATCATAGAATGGCTTGGGTTGGAGGGAACTGCAAGGATCATGAAGCTCCAACCCCTCTGCCACAGGCAGGGCCACCAACCTCCCCATTTAATACCAGACCAGGTTGCCCAGGGCCCCATCCAACTTGGCCTTGAACACCTCCAGGGACGGGGCATCCACAAATTCTCTGGGCAGCCTTACCCACTGTTTAATTATCCTAGTTATGAAAAAGCCTTTCCTATCTCCAGCTGAAATTTCCTTTGCAGCAAACCATGACTGGTTTCTAGGCCTATGGAATACATCTTTCATGTATTGTATTACGAACTTCTGGGTAAAAAAAGGCAACAAGTCTGATTGATATATATTAATGACACTATAAAACAGTCATCTTTCCCCACTCACACCCTTCAAAGCTTCCTTATGTTATTTATGTCAATGAGGAGCTTTAGGTTTTTATAGGATACAGCCTATTTTCTGCTTCCATTTCTACCACAGACTGAAGAGGAAAAAAACAAAACCTTTTTTTTTTTTTTTTCAGGCCAAACAAACACATGTCCGCAAATAGATTTTTCTCTCTTTAAAGTCTACCATGTAAGTCCGACATTTTTACAAGGAAAATGAGTCACAAATGCACGTTTTCTGAAATGACTATTATTTATACATCCTTCAGAATGTCTGCTTCTTTTAATGTACTCATTGACAAAGTTAGTTCAGAGAGTAATTCTGATAATTTTGTGCCCTGTTATTTTGCAGTTTCAATTGTCTCTGTACATAAAATACAAGCCATGGCTGCTGTTAGAACAAACCAGTGGAAGCTCCCCAGAGCTGACTGAAATAAAAACGAATCCTGGAATTGAAGGAAGAGTAATCAGATGATGAGCAATTTGTGACATCCAGACCTGCAGAAGGTGAGTCCGAACTAAAATCACTGTCAGAACTTATGTTAACCATGCTTATGCAAGTAAAATTATCTTAAATTTCCAACTGCTTTTCATAAAAATGTTGTAAACTAAACAGTGAGAAGGAAGAACTCCAAAAGGTGGCTTTATTGTCTACTTTAGAACATATAGATATAGGTCTGAAGCATCTGGGTTATTGTGTCCTGGTCTGCTCTGCTGTGGTGTCAGAGCTGGCTTCAATATTGCAGAATTTTACAATTTTTCTGAACATACAGAAAATGAATGAAAAAGATGGAGTAACTATTTATATTTGTATCTAATATGTATTTATCATTTGATTGTAGAAAGACTATGAAGATAGTTCCCTGAAGGGAAGGCCTATATATTATTTAAAGAAAGACAAGAGCAAGTTTCAAGGACATTTTTGCTATGAATTCCTCAAAATAAATGATTCTAGTATGATTCTGGAGGCCATTTAAGAAAAGTTCGTATCTCTAAGAATGTACTGCAATCGTACGTTATTTTAGAACACAGATTTTCACTTAGCTTCACCAGCAGTGCTGTCAGGGAAGTGCTCTGTCTCTGTCTTTTTTCAGTAGTTTTGATCAGAAATACTTCATAAGTTTTTGTGTGTTTTAAGTTCAGTCTCTTCTTTTTGGTTGGATGCGTTGCTTGCGGCCATTCAGAGCATAGTTGTCCTTTGATCTGTGTGCTCATGCATAGACACCTCTTATCTTTGCCTAACACTAATTTACAAACTTCCATTTGTACAGCTGAATATCTTAGAAGAAGATAAAGAAGCACATGCAGAGGTGCCAACGATGAGAAAGGCAGCTTGAATTCTGTCCAGGAAGCAGCAAAATGTACTATTGTAAGTCCCTCTGCAGTCACCTATGCCAAAACAGCCATTGATAAAAGACAGGAAAAGGCCAATGAGTCCTCATAGACCTCTGAGACAGAGACATAAGACACACAGAAATCTTTATCAAAAGGTTTCTATGAAGATATTTTCTATCTTCATGTTATTTATTCTCTTCCAGAATGATATATACTGAATGAAGAACATGTCCTTCTGATATTTTTCAGAGGTTTTCAGAGGTACTAAAAATTGTATTAGCCCTGCTTTTGTCTCAGGAACCTTCTCAGAATTTTCAGGTGATTTCCAGAATTCTCACCATTGTAGTCCTTTCTTAATAGCAAAATGTCACAGAGTTGGAGCTGAACCTCCTTGAACAGAGGTTTAAATTGGACTTGGTTCCACTTACCCATATGTTAATCTCATCATAGGAGAAACAATAAATCAAGTCAGGTATGATTATAATCAGCAGTACTTCTAATAAATCACACCAGCTACATATATCCCAGAATATAAATAAGGGTATAAGTCTTTTCTCCTTTGAGCCATTAAATTCAGAATACTTGGCTTCTTACACAAAAGCAGATCTGTGAGTTGCTCAGTTCAAAGCTCTGTATGCTGGCAGGGCAAAAGTGGTCATCAGCTCTTCTCTGTCTTTATTGAGGATCTCACTGGGAGCAAACCATTGACATTATCTCTTTGCACACTGCTTTTCACATTTATAATCCTGGAGCCAATTTCCTGGAATTGTACCCTGCTTTGAAATGTTGATTTTGAAGTCTAGTTCTGTACAGAACATATACATAAACTTTTATTTTAAATGATCAGAAAATGTCTCACTTGCATTTTTTCTACCTTAAAATATCTTTTAAAATTGAAATAATAATGAAAAACAAACCAAAAAACAGTTTTCAAGAGGCTTCATGGAACTTCAGATGAAATGTTGACATGCTCACCCTCCTAAAACAGAATACACAACTCATGCAATGAAAATGAGAATTTCCTGAGAAACCTCTGTGAAAATGGGAGAACGTCTTTGCCAGCTGTGTAGATTACCAGATATTGATTTGAAAAGTAGCTGGGAGTTCTCAAGAGCAAGGTTGAAGTTGTTTGAAAACATTGTTGCTATTGCATATGGCATCTGGATGAAATGTTGCACACATAATCTTTCTTCACCATTCTGTGTATCAGCCAATACAGAACAAGCTGTCAAAACGTCAAGCAAAAATAACCATGAGAATTTAATATGAGTACGTTTTAATGGCTTCTGCTAATATCACTTGACATTCAGGATTATTTTTTAAACTTATTATGATGTGAAATTCAGTACTATACATGCAACAATAATTCAGCTCCACCACAATCCTAGCTCAGTTCTCAGCAGGCAGAAGTCACACTATTCTACAGCTTGGTGCAGCGTGTGCTGCTCATAACATAGCAATACTCCTGTGAGGTACTGAGCAGTTCTGTTTTGATGCTGGCATGATTAGTGGCAGACCATCAGTTACATGCAGTTTTGCTGTCTGTTGATGTGCACTGCCTTTGGAAGTGGACATTTCCAAGTGTGGGGGAACTCCCAGCTGTGGGCACATATTTAGTGGCATCAGCTGTGTGCAAGTGCAATGACCTGAGAAGGAGAGAGTTCTGAAACCCCGTTATTTTGTCAGAGGACAAATGTTTTGGTAGAGAAGGGATGATCTAATTGCAATTGCCTTACTTTGTCTTGTTCTGTGTGCATATATATGTATTCTTTACTTATATATATGTTACATACATATATTCTAATTTACAAATCTGAACTCATAGAGCTGACTGAATGCATTTCCCACTTCTTTTCCACTCATAAGAAATGAATGAAGTCTTATCTAGTGGGAACAGGTTTGCAAAAAATCCAAGAGCAAAAGCCCTGAGATCTTGTGAAAGAATTAAACTGTTTCATAGTTACAGTGTTATTCAATCTACAGCGAGTGAAACCCTATCATTTTGGACATGTGCACTCAAATGCACAAGGCATATGTTAAGTACAAGTCTGAAGATGCTCTGGGCCATTTGAGCCATTACAAATTCTTTTTTTTATTTTAGGACCTTTGACACTGTGTACTTCTGTAAGAGCTCCTTCCTATTGAGTAGTGCAAGGAGAAAATCAATCTCCATTTGTAGATTCTTGCTTCTATGAGCAGTAATTAATCATGTTAAACTAGTGGTATAAAAATAGATCATGTGTAAAACAGCTTCTTAATTTCCCTGCAGGGCTGTTTCTGTTTTTCTTTTTTTTCAGTGAATTTAACTCAATTTCATGTCAGTGGAAATTCCTTTCAGAAACTGGTGTGGTCACTTCCCCCATGAGAATAGATAAAGATTTGAAGAACTGTGTATCTTCTGCTGTGCAGCTTTTCCTGTCAAATACTTTTATTTCTGCATACATGCACTCTGCCTCCTGTGAGATCCAAGCCATTTCTATTCAGCGATGTAAATGATTTATCTGAACTGGACTTTAGCATTTATCCCATCTAGGTCTTTGAGTAATGTTCTTGATCACAGTGAAACAGATGCTTCTTCATAATTCAGATCTGCAATAGCAATTTTGGGGAATATATAGAAATAGGTATTTTGGTTTATGATCACCTGGCTGGATTATTATTAATTAATGGATGAGACTGTATTAATTGTGGTAGTATATATGACAGGTGTGAAATTTTTTTCTCTGTTCAATCTTGTTAATTCATCCCAATTCATCCTTTAGTATTCAGTAGTAGGTGATAGAAGGCTCTCTGAAAGACCACCTCTGCCTTTTTTCACCCTTCAAAGTAGGAAAATCCACCTCTGTAGGAAATCCATCCTCTCTTCCCTTTTCCTCATTTACATTTGCATGAAGAGTGATGGGCAGTGCTAATCCAGATGTTAGTCTGATACCATTACTGAGTTGGCTGGGAAGGGTTTTCTGCTGCCATAGCAAGCAATTTTCCAGTGGCTGTAGGACCAGAAGGCTTCACCAGCATCCTATGAGGGTGAAGAGGATCCTACAGACCACAAAATCTCCTATCAGATGTTACTTTTTTCTTTTCCAGAGTAAGGGAAATGTATGCACATATACATAGATATATGCATATATACATCATCAACAAACATTATCAGATTTATGTAACAACTAATTTCAAACTCTTAATCTATAAAAAAACGTTGAATCTATCCCTTAGTCTAATGTGGTTAAGAGATTTTTCTCTATGAGATCTACTGGTCAATGTTAGGAAAATTGAGCATGCTCCAATAAGCTTGCTCAATCATCTTTATCCCAAAAAGAAACAGAGTCCTGAGTTCTCTTTATGTGAAAAAAAAAAAAAACGGGAGAGTGTGGGGTCTCTCAAAATGCTGGGAACATAGCCTTGCTTGAAGAGATGAAGTCTAAAGAAGGTATGCCTACAGTTTTGAACATGTGTGCTGATCATTGGATTTATAATCGTTGTTCTTGTGTTTGTTTAAATTGGAAAGTTGAAATATTTCAAATAAATATCTATTGCATAATATTTTCTACTTTATGCATATTTTTATTCACTGATTGAATTGTGACATAAAATAATAGAGCAGGTAGGCAGAACTAAGGACTAATAGTTTTCCATGTTCTCATGTTAAAATGGTGTCATCAAAATCATTTTTGATTTTCTTAATAACCACAAACTCTTTCCGCTGTCTGTGGCATATACTGAAACCATACACTTATGAGGTACTCACTGCATTTTCAACATAACAATGAAAACGTTATTGATTATAAAATTCAACTCTGAAATCTCCAGTTGTATTATTTCATACATAACACTGAGTCAGGGCTACACCAAGTCTTTCTCTGAAGAACTAGACACGACCAGCTCCTATAGTCAAGGAGCACTGGTCTGACTTTAGAACATGCCATTTCTTACAATACTGGAGGTGCTGTTCAGAGAACAGCCGAAGTGAAAATGAAGCAATAAATGTATTACATTTCATGTGACAGATGAACAACATTGATTTCCTTACAGTGCCTTTTATAAAAATCATCTGTATAAAGATGGAGGTGCATGGAATAGAAAGGTTTAAAGCTGTTATTTAAATCCACTAAAATATTTTACTGGAAAGACGATGAGGAGACAGCAAACTATCAAGAGAACTCATTGATAAGAAGCCAGCAAGTGAAACCGTCAACACTCTAGAAGTCTGAAAAAATTGAATGGATGTTTTCACTCAGATTCAATGGTGGAGAAGTTCAGGGGAAGAGAGAAAGACAGTCATGCGGACCGAACTCTGAGAGGAACCACTGCGAAAGATGGTGAAGATGATTATAAGAAAAAGTACAGTTTTGGTTTAGAAATACATGTTCAGGTTATTCAAATAACTTATTAGAGAGAGGGACACAGTAAAAACTGCTAACCTTTTGAACTGTTGCTACTATAATTATTATCATTATCTATTAATGAAAGAAAAAAAAAACAAATAGGAAAAAAAAGGAAACAAATCCACCCTATATAATCTAGCTTTCAGGATTCTTTGATAATGATTAGTCAGAGACAGGGAGGCTTTTTTATTTCACTTGATGTAAGCCCTGTCCACCCCAGATATTTCTGCTCATACATAAAAAGGTTATTATTTCTGTTATGTTTTATATTGAATGTATGAGAATGCTTTGTATACCAGTCCAGCAGTGCACTCTATGTGGCTTGGATTTTATGGAGCGCTGCAGGCTCTGAAATCACACAGATTGGCAAATGCTTTCAACTCCCAGTCTGGACTCTAGTGCAAATTACAGACCTTTTTAGTAATTTATATAATTTAACTGCTACATTTAGAGAATGACAGAAAGAAAAAACAAACAAACAAAAAAAACAACAACAATGCATCTCTGCATTTGTACTTGCATTTACTTCAAGAAATACATCTATTTTCAGGAGGAATATAAATGATGTGCTAAATGATGTGACTTAGCAAAGAGCTTAAACCAGTGGCAGAATTTTCCAGTGTTGAGAACTGCTCAGTTTGCCGTATTT